CGCAGATGATGTCCAACTCTATCACTCATTTCCACCAGATGCTAAGGAGGCTGTCCAAGTCCTGAACCAGTGCCTGACCTCTGTGACGGTCTGGATGAGGGCCTGGGAGTTCTTCTGGATTCATCACTGAGCCTGGAATCCCAGGTTGCAGCGGTGGCCAGGGGAGCGTTTGCACAATTAAAACTTGTGCGCCAGCTGCGCCCATACCTTGGGAAGTCAGACTTAGCCACGGTGGTCCATGCTCTCGTTACATCTAGGATAGACTACTGCAACGCACTCTACGTGGGGTTGCCTTTGAAGACTGCTCGGGAGCTTCAAATAGTCCTGCCAGGTTAATAACTGGGGCGGCATACAGCAAGCATACAACTCCCATGTTACGCCAGCTCAACTGACTGCCAGTTTGCTACCGGGCACAATTCAAAGTGCTGTCTTTGACCTATAAAGCCCTAAATGGCCCTGGCCCAAATTACCTGTTTGAACGCATCTCCCCCTATGAACCATCGTGGAGATTAAGATCCTCCGGGGGGGCCCTGCTTTCCGTCCCACCATTATCACAGGCACAATTGGTGGGGACGAGAGACCAGGCCTTCTTGGTGATTGCTCTCCGGCTATGGAACTCCCTTCCTGGTGAGATCAGGTCGCCCTCCCCCCTCCTGTCCTTTAGAAAGATGGTAAAAACTTGGCTGTGGGACCAAGCTTTCAGGACAGGGCAATAAAGTGGCAATAGGAAAGATGACCAGGCCAATGATTTGACGCAGATGACTAGGACGGTTTTAAATGGTGTATTTTAATATTTTGATAAATGTTTTTTAATGTTTATGTATTGTATGTGAATCTGTGTCCCGGCATTGAATGTTTGCCATGTATATGCTGTGCTCCGCCCTGAGTCCCCTTCAGGGTGAGAAGGGCGAATATAAATGTTTTAAATAAATAAATAAGGGCAATTTTGCTACTGTTATGAATCTTAACGTAAATATTGGATAAGCAGGATGCATTTGCATTCACTGGACCAAATTTGGCACAAATACTGAATACTGGTGGAGTTCGGGGGCAGGTGATTTTGTGATTTGGGAGTTGTAGTTGCTGGGATTTATAGTTCACCAACAATCAAAGAACATACTGAACTCCACCAATGATGGAACTGAACCAGACTTGGCACACAGAACCCCCATGATCAACAGAAAATACTGGAAGGGTTTGGTGGGCACTGACCTTGAGTTTTGGAGTTGTAGTTCACCTACATGCAGAGAGCACTTGGGGACTCAAACAATAATGGATCTGGACCAAACTTGGCATGAATACTCAATATGCCCAAATGTGAACACTGGTGGAGTTTGGGGAAAATAGACCTTTACATTTAGGAATTGTAGTTGCTGGGATTTATAGTTCACCTACAATCAAAGAGCATTCTCAACCCCACCAACAATAGAATTGTGTCAAACTTCCCATACAGAACCCCCATGACCAACAGAAAATATTGTGTTTTCAGATGGGTTTTGGTGACCCCTTTGACACACCCTTGAGACCCCCACAGGTTTCCCGACCCCTAGGTTGAGAAACACTGATCTACATTATATCACCATGGATATTTAAAGATGGCTATTGTATCACCTCTCAGTCTTCTCCAAATTAAACATACCTAAAGCTGTTACTCCTCTTGTAGATTAGTTTCTAGGCCATATACCATTTTCATTATTCTTCTCTGGACATGCTTCATCTCATCAATATCTCTCTGGAACTTTGGTATCCAGAACTGGACACAGTCTTTCAGATGTGGGGTTATTCTTAAGTTGAATTTGTATGTAAGTAGGAAAACATACATTTTTAAAGTGTAACTCCAGCCATACGGATAGATAGATAGATAGATAGATAGATAGATAGATAGATAGATAGATAGATAGATAGACAGACAGACAGACAGACAGACACAAAAGGAAGGATATGTATGTGTGTATGTGGCTGGGATGCCGACTTCCAAGACAAACTCCTGCTTCCATAAACAGCTTTAACCCACAGTGTTGAGGAGCCACCAAATGCCCTCCCTCCAGTGACATTTCAGATTATAGCAAGCGCCATGAATATGTAGCCCAACCCCTGCCAATGTCCTCTCCAAACGCCATACTGTCCTTCCCACCCAAGAAATGCTTTCATTCGGGGACAATTCCATTCTAAATTTTATGTGTTTCCTCCAACACAGACATCCCAGTGTTTCTAACTCTCTCCATTGGTGTGGAATTTGCACTGCCTCTCCCTTAACCTTTTCCTACTCTTTTCAATTCTGCCTGCACAACAAACAGAGCAGAACTATTTAGCAACTAAAGATACTGAAGGGGTTTTGGGGATTGACTCCATTTGATGGAAGGTGTAGTTCACCCTGCATCGAGTCAGTGCACTGTGACCCCCTCTCACAATGGACCTAGACCATATTTTGGCACACAGAAGTCCCATGACCAAAGAGGTTTGGGGGGATTTCACCTTGTGAGTACTGGGATTTGCAGTTCACCTGCAATCATAGAGGACTCTGAACCCCACCAATGATGGCCCTGAACTTCACTTGGCACATCGAACCCCCATGACCAACTGAAAATACTGGAGGGCTTTCGGGGGAAATCCAGAGAGCACTGTGAATGCAAACAATGATGGATCCGCACCAAATTTGGCACGCATACCCGATATGCCGAAATTTTCAAAACTGGTGGATTTGGGATGGAATTGGCCTTGACATTTGTTAGTTCTAGGTACTGGGATTTATAGTTCACCTGCAATCAAAGAGCACTCCGCACCCCGCCGATGATGGACCTGGACCATTTAAAAAGAAACCTTTGGAATTAAAATGGAGAATAGAAATAAAAGAGGTCTGATGTCCAAAACAGAAGCCTTGGCCAGGTTGCCTCCTCCATTCCATTTGTCCAGGCACATGACTTTGTGCCTGGACAAGCAACTTTGTGCATGCCACCCTCCATCAAATCAAACTCCTACTAATATCTGAAATGGTCCAGTTTCACGCAGCATTGACTGATTAACAAACTGAAGGCACCATCTTTGCTACAATTACTCAACGCATAGTGCAAATCCAGACCGGATATTGTGAACTGGAGTTTATATATAAACTCATTGGAAAGTCATTAATGGCCACACTTCAGTGTTCAAGGTGCCCTTCAACATAATAAAACACAATTTCCACTTTGAAACATCCCCATTTTGAATGCCCTCTATAAGAAGGACAAAGAGAAGAAGAAAGGCATATGTGAAACTCATGTAAGATGTCTTTAGTTTGCTGATGGCAGTATCTGTGGCCATAAAACAAGCACATTCCCTCCCAGAAGAATTCCCTTCCCTCCAATGAAATTTTCCCAAATTTCTAGCACCGCAGAGAATGAAACATTGAAAACCATTCACCCCTTGATTCCATAATACCTGCTGTATTTGCATCCCTTTGGCCAATTTGTTGCTCCTTTTTTTTCAGTGCCTAAACTAGGCATGGGCAAACCTTGGCCCTTCAGGTGTTTTGGACTTCAACTCCCACAATTCCTGGCCTCAGGCCCCTTCCTTTTCCCCCTCAGCCGCTCTGTCCTAAACTGTATGTCAAGATAAGGGCCAGGCTTCATCAAAGCAGGTTAACCACTAGCTGCAAGGTTGGCAGTTCGAAGCCCGGGTTGGGGGTGAGTGCCCGACCTTCAGCCCAGCTCACTGCCCAGCTAGCAGTTTGAAAACAGCTATGAGTAGATAAACAGGTACCACTTAAGCAGGAAGGTATTTTAATGGCAACATACGGAAATGCCAGAAAATGCTAGAAAGCCAATCTAAAAAAAGGAGGAAGTCTGTGAACAGGGCTCTTCAACATGGAGGATGGAGCGACAGCAACCCCCCCCCCCTTTCGTGGCTAGAATTGAGCACAACCTCCAAGATGCCAAAGATGGGAAAAGCCTATTACCTCAATCTCAGTGTTTCTCAACCTGGAGGTCGGGACCCCGGGGGGGGGGGTTGTGAGGGGGTGTCAGGGGGCCACCAAAGACCATCAGAGAAAACAGTATTTTCTGTTGGTCATAGGGTTTCTGTGTGAGAAGTTTGGCCCAATTCTACTGTTGGTGGGGTTCAGAATGCTCTTTGATTGGAGGTGAACTATAAATCCCAGCAACTACAACTCCCAAATGGCAAGTATTTTTCCCCAAATTCCACAAGTGTTTGCATTTGGGCATACTGAGTATTCATGCCAAGTTTGGTCCAGATCCAACATTGTTTGAGTCCACAGTGTTCTCTGGTTGTAGATAAAGTACAACTCCAAAACTCAAGGTCAATGCCCACCAAACCCTTCCAGTATTTTCTGTTAGTCATGGGGGTTCTGTGTGCCAAGTTTCGTTCAATTCCATCATTGGTGGAGTTCAGAATGTTCTTTGATTGTAGGTGAACTATAAATCCCAGCAACTACAACTCCCAAATGATAAAATCAATCACCTGCCCCACCCCCCCATCAGTATTCAAATGTGGGCATATTGCGTATGTGCCGAATTTGGTCCAGTGAATGAAAATACATCCTGCATATCAGATATTTACATTAAGATTCATATCAGTAGCAAAATTAGAGTTATGAAGTAGCAACAAAAATAATGTTATGGTTGGGAGTCACCACAACATGAAGAACTGTATTAAGGGGTTGCGGCATTAGGAAGGTTGAGAAACACTGCTCTATCTGTACTGTTGTCTGTCCTGTCTGTGTATAACAGCATTGAATTTTTGCTGTATATGTGTTCTGTGTTCCGCCCTGAGTCCCCTCCGGGGCGAGAAGGGAGGAATATAAATACTGTAAACAAATAAATAAATACTCAACTGAAACTTTAAGTTACTGCAACGCTACAAATGTCAGGAACGAAGTAAAATGTCATGGCAGGGTGCATGATTATTATTTAAGGAAGAATGCTTTCACATAGCTTTAAAATTTGATTTTTCTCCAAGCGAGGCAAGGAAATTTGAAAATATAATATTTTAAACTGTTGACTTACCAAACAGTTCCAGTGATGATTTTCTTGTCTTAGAAGGGTGACATCAGATCGAAAAGACTGGATGTGTTCCTCTAATAAACAGATGTATCCAAATATTTTCTGCAGCACTGCATGTTATACATCTGATAGTTCATTTGTAAACTGTGAGGGGGAGAAAAGGAAACAGTTTTCAGAATTCAACTTTTTAATGTAATTAGCTGTGCATTCTGATTTTTTTCAGGGTGTTTCAATGCACAACATGCACAATAGCATAGTTACTATAATGTTTTTAACTGCCACATCTATACATATAATAAAAGTGAAAATGTGTATGTGTGTGTGCCTGGGATGTCCACTTACACAGACAGGCTCCCACTTCCGCAAATAGCTATAGCTCCCACCACTCAGGAGACACCAAAGGCCACTAGATTTTATGTATTTCCTCCACCACAGACATCCCATTGTTTCTGACTCTCTCGGTTGGTGTGGAATTTTCATGACCACACCCACTGCCTCTTCCTTAACCCTTTCCTATTCTTTACACAGCAAAGCGAGGAATTGCTCAGCAGCTGAACATACTAGCGAGGTTTGGGGAGAATTCACCATGATTTATATGAGTTGTAGGTACTGGCATGTATAGTTTACCTGCAATCTAAGAGCACTCTGAACCCCACCAAAGATGGACCTGGAACTAACTTGGGGCACAGAACCCCCATGACCAACAGAAAATACTGCAAGTCTTTGGAGGGATTCATAGGAGTCATAGTTTACCTACATCCAGAGCTCACTATAAACCCAAACAATGATGGATCTGGACCAAACATGGCATGCATACCTGATATGCCCAAATTTGAATACTAGTGGGTATGGAGGGGAATTGGCTTGGACATTTTGGAATTGGAAGTACTACTTCAACCAGAGAAGTCAGCCATAGCAGAGCACCTGATAAACCAGCCTGGACACAGCATATTATTTGAGAACACAGAAATGTGGGACCACACCAACAACCACCATGTCAGACTACACAGAGAAGCCATTGAAATCCACAAGCATGTGGACAATTTCAACAGAAAGGAAGAGACCATGAAAATGAACAAAATCTGGCTACCAGTATTAAAAAACTCTAAAATTACAACAGCAAAACAGCAGAGAGGAAACAACCAGGCACATCTTAACACCTCTCAACAAAAGATTTTCCCAGGCTCAGGCAGGCCTTCAAATGCTAATGAAGGTGGTCAATTGAAACATTCACACCTAGCTCCAGCAGAGAAGAGCTCTTTGCCCCACCCCAGCCATTCCACAGATATATAAACCCATTGTCCTAATTTCCAACAGACCTCACTACCTCTGAGGATGCTTGCCATAGATGCAGGCGAAACGTCAGGAGAAATGCCTCTAGAACATGGCCCTATAGCCCCAAAAAACCCCACAAGAACCTACTGGGATTTATAGTTCACCTGCAATTAAGGAGCCCCATGAACTCCACCAAAGATGGAATTGGACCAAATTTGGCACACAGAGCCCACATGACCAGCCAAAACTACTAGAATTCTTTGGGGAAAATCCACCTTGATTTGAGGGAGTTGTCGTTCACTTACATCCAGAGAGCACTGTGAACCCAAACACCAATAAATCTGGACTAAACTTGGCACACATACCTGATATGGTGAGATGTGATTACTGGAGGGGTTTGGGGAGAACTGGCCTTCCTTTCTGGAAGTTGTAGTTCGCCCACAACCAGAGAAACTGTGACCTTCAACAATGATGGACCTGGTGCAAACTAGGCACACAGAATTCCCATGGCCAACTGAAGCTACTGGAGAGGATTGAGAGGACTGATTCACCATAGTGGGAGTTGTAGTTTACCCTACAGCCAGAGAGCATACTGAATCCCACCGATGATGCAGCTATAGAAAACTTGCCTAATATAACAAATGTTATGTACTGATGGAGTTTTTTGGGATTAACCTGGCATGATGTGAGTTCACCCACAACCTTATGTATTTTGTACAATTAAAAATTGACCTTTTCAAATAACCCCAGGCAACGCTGGGTACCCAAGCTAGTGTTTAAATAAATAAAGGGTGTCCCAAAAAGGTTCAAATAAGAAAGGGAATCTCAACTTGTGCTAGGGAGAGGTTTCAGGTGGTCCACGACATCCAGTACTGGAATACCATTCCTCAGAAAGCAGTACAGTTTCCTTCATCTGAAGATAGTCATCTTTCAAGGATGCACTGGCACCAGATTTCCTCACCACCAGGGTTTGGACTGGGTTGGATGGCTAGACTTCCCCAATTGAAAGTTCTATTGAATATGCCCATTATTCAAATGCTGATCAGGCCAATCTGTACCGGAATCTGAAAAGCTCAAATTACAAAAGCATTTGTAGCAACGGATCACCTGGGGCACAGGTCTCAAAGCCCTAGGCCAAGCAAACCCAAGCAATCCAGGTCACTGTCTTGGTATTTAGGAAACCTTGTAATCATCTGCCCTAAAAACAAACCAACTCCAACAAAACACTTCAGCTGTCAAAGTTTCTTAGCTTTTCAGATGTGAAACAGCCAGCTTTGCTATCACGTTTCATTTCTCGTAGTGTCATTCACCTGAAGCAACTTTTTGCACATTTGCTGCTCTCATATGTAGAGTGTCCATAAAGTCACTTTACCATCTAAATGGTAGAGACTTCACACAGTAAAGAGATTTATAGACACCCCATGCTTCCTTCTCTCAGAAAGCCAAGCTTGACCTCCCACTTTAATTTCCCCTCCCAAAAAGTAAATGCTACATGAATGCATAGCACCCATCAACATGTCTATGCCAAAGATGCAGCTGATGTTTAGGAAAAATGCCTGGAAAAACAAGAACACACTAATAAGGAAAACCACTATACCATAGATACTTTTGCAGGAGGGACTGTAATAGTTACGTGCTTTTGTGGAAAGGCTAGTATGGTATAACAGTAACCTCTGATAGCAAAAAAGGCACATTTAAAATACTGTTTGAGAATCCTAAAGACAGAATTTTTCCTTAAGTGTTAATCAGCTTTTTACAGCTTTGAGTGTTTGCTGCTACATGTTATTAACCGCCCTGAGTCTCCATTGGGGAGATGAGGCAGGATAGAATTTAAGTGTTTTGTTGTTGTTGTTGCTGCTGTTGTGACTCACAACATGGATAGTTGGGAAAGCAGTCCCTACACTGGGGAAAGGCTGGGATAAAAATAATATAAATCTAAATCTATATAAATAAAAAGGTAACGTTTGTTACCTTGTCTCTCTCCTGAGAAATCTGTACAAGGACCAAGTAGCAACAGTAAGAACTGACCACGGAACAACAGACTGGTTCAAGATTGGGAAAGGCGTACGGCAAGGCTGCATACTCTCACCCAACCTTTTTAACTTGTATGCAGAACACATCATGCGATGTGCAGGGCTTGATGAATGCAAAGCTGGGGTGAAAATTGCTGGAAGAAACATTAACAACCTCAGATATGCAGATGACACCACTCTGATGGCCGAAAGCAAGGAGGAGCTGAGGAGCCTTCTAATCATGGTGAAAGAAGAAAGCACAAAAGCTGGGTTGCAGCTAAACATCAAAAAAACCAAGATTATGGCAACAAGAATGATTGACAACTGGAAAATAGAGGGAGAAATTGTGGAGGCTGTGACAGACTTTGTATTTCTAGGTGCAAAGATTACTGCAGATGCAGACTGTGGCCAGGAAATCAGAAGACGCTTACTTCTTGGGAGGAGAGCAATGTCCAATCTCGATAAAATAGTAAAGAGTAGAGACATCAGACTGGCAACAAAGATCTGCATAGTCAAAGCCATGGTATTCCCTGTAGTAACCTACGGATGTGAGAGCTGGACCTTAGGGAAGGCTGAGCGAAGGAAGATCGATGCTTTTGAGCTGTGGTGTTGGAGGAAAGTTCTGAGAGTGCCTTGGACTGCGAGAAGATCCAACCAGTCCATCCTCCAGGAAATAAAGCCCGACTGCTCACTGGAGGGAAGGATACTACAGACAAAGCTGAAGTACTTTGGCCACATCATGAGGAGACAGGAAAGCCTAGAGAAGACAATTATGCTGGGGAAAGTAGAAGAAAAAAGGAAGAGGGGCCGACCAAGGTCAAGATGGATGGATGGCATCCTTGAAGTGACTGGACTGACCTTCAAGGAGCTGGGGGTGGTGACGGCTGACAGGGAGCTCTGGCGTTGGCTGGTCCATGAGGTCACAATGAGTCGGAGACGACTGAATGAATGAACAACAACAAATGTTTGTTTGTGGAATTAACATAACTCAAAAACCACTGGATGAATTGGCACCAAATTTGGATAGAATACACCTAACAACCTAATGAGTGACCATCACTAAAAAAAACATTTTAAAAAACAGTGAAAGTGACTTTAAAACCCAAAAATGATAAAAACAAGTTACATCACATGCAGGAAAATGACTCCCATTAGCCCCACCCCCTCCTGCATGAGGGGGGGGGGGGAATAAACAGCTGCAGGGAGCATTGAAGGCTCCAGTGGACTGGGCAGGCAGAATCTCAGCTTCCCCAGGCCCCTAATCTGGGGTTTCCCCACTCTCTCTCCCACCCACCACCCCTTCCTTGCCTTTGGGCCTACCCTCCTCTGCTATGCCAGGGCCTCATGTGGGGCCTCCTTACCTCCCTCCCAGTCTCTGTCCTCTCTTTGTCAGCCCCTCCAAACACAGACCCCTCCTCCTTCTTTTCCCCCTGGTGAGGTGGGTGGGTGGCTACATCATGCAGGCACCGTTCACCAGGCTTCGCCTTCCCTTGCCTGGGTGCTGACGGGAAGGGAGCCTTGCAGCCCTCAGACTTGCTGGGCCCAGCACAGGCAGGAGGCATTTTTCGAGGTGGGCCTTGCTCACCCAGCACTGGCCCCTTCTTTCTGCTGCAGCTGCAGGGCGCCTTTCATGTGACCCCGCCTGCATGCCCACCCCCCAAACAGGCGGGAAGGTGCCCCACAGCCATGGCAGAAAGAAGGGGTGGTGCTGGGTGAGCGAGGCCTGCCTCGAAAAGCGCTTCCCACCTGCCCCATGCCGGGCTCAGCAAGGCTGAGGGCTGGGGGCTACCCTATCAAAAGGTAGAGGAGGAAATAAAAAAA